ATATGCGCTGCATCAGCGATCACGTTTAGAATTTTCTGGGCTGATGTACGAAGTCCTTAAGAATTGTCCTGGTCTTCTTGGTTACACGATGAATGTTTTTTGGTCTGGACAGGCGGCGTTGATGGACCTTCGTGGTGGTACCCCTCGTCTAATGCAGTGGAGTGGTACCCATCCCTTGTTGCGGAGTTATGTACCGACGGAACTCTTTTCCGAGCTTCCACAACGTAATTATCTTCTGCACAATTTGCCAGAGGCACGTCTGCGACTTGTGGAATTGCTCCAACGACAGTTAAGCAGCCCAACAGGGTATCTGACGACAGGGGTAGACACCACCGTGCAGGATGAGCGGGATGGTTTTGTGGTTCCTTACAATCATACCACGTGTCAGGTGCATCCATTTGCGCTCTTTACGATATTTACCCATCAAGACATGTTAGAATCCCCACGTGAGACGATGGTGGTGCGTGCATGGGGTGAAGTATGGGCGGAATATTGTGCTGTCGTAAACTCCATGGGGACAACCAATGAACGTAAACGTGATGCACTGCGTGTAATTCTTCATGGAGCATTATTACTTCGTGTCGTGGCGGTGTCCGGAGCACAGATGGATCTGAATATGAAGATACCGCCCTATGGATTTCCACTACTTGCGTCACCGACACGTGTGAAGCAGAAGGGAGGGGCCGAGCCGATCGTTATGAAGGCCACTCCCGACACAGTGCGCAAGGCGATGGGGGCATACAAGAATTTCTTTTCACAAACGGAACAGACACATATTCCTTTCCGCCCAAGTGTCGGGATTAACGGTGGATGTGACGTTGTGTGTATTGCAGGGACGACATTGGCGCTGTATGATCTTGTGACAACACCCGAAGCACTACAAGAGATCAGTTATCGATTTGCTGAGGCGCTTCTTGGGGTTTTGCACTGCCTGGGGAAGAATGTTTTGCCACAAAATAAAATTCGTCAAATTCATTACGTCAGTGTGGTTTCAATTGACCAGACTATGACGATGTTGTCACACAGTAGTAAACTCTCCCTGACGGGGGGCACCGCACCGCCTATGGCCACAGACGATGTGTTTGCTGCACCACCCACACCTGTTGTGCCTTACCTTTTGGACCTGAGTGCCGTCTTTGAGGATGACGTTATTGACCGACTGCGTGCATTGCAGGAGACGCTTGGCATTAG